CGCTGGAGTTGGTGCCCCCCCGCACCCGCCCCCGCCCCGCCCCAGAGGCGGCTCTCCACGAGCTCCGCCACGTCCCCGCGCCGCCGCCGCCGCTCGGGACGGCCGCGGCGCCGCCGCCGGGCGCGGCGGCGTGGCTGGGGCCGGAGGGCATCCTCGACGCCCTGGTGCCTGCCGAGCGGCGCGGCGGCAGCAGCGGTGCAGCTGACCTGCTGTTCTCATCTGAGGACTCCAACACCACTACCACCAGCGGCGTCGTCGGCGGCGGGGCCGACATCGCGCTGCTGCCCGAGCTGCGCGCGGGGAGAGTGCAGCTCGTGGTTGACGCGCGCAGCAGCGTGGAGCAACTCGTGGCCGCGTGGGGGGCCGCCCCGACAGGCACGGCCTTTGTGGTGCTCCTCCTGCCGCCGCACGGCCTGGAGGCGCACCGGCTGCTGGGCTTCTGCCGCGCGGCGCGCGTGGAGGCGCCCGGCAGGGCGCTGCATTGCCTGGCAGTCGTGCAGCCGCCGGGCAGCGGCGGTCTGAGCCGCTCGGCGCTCTCCGCGGTCGGCGCGCTGTGCCTGCGTGCGCCTTTTGGCCAAGAGCCCGAGCTGGTCGTTGCGGCCGACGGTGGCGCCTGCTGGGCGCCCCGCCTGCGGCCGCTGCGGCTGCCGGCAGCTGCGGGGCAGCTGGTCCAGACAGTCGTGCCGGCCACCGCAGAGGTCTCGCAGATCGACGCCGGCGGCGTGCCCAATCCGCCGGCCGGTCCTGAGGCGGTGGCCGCCCCCTCCCCTCACACGGCGCCGGCGGCGGACCCTGACGGCTGGAGCGGCGACGGCGCGCCCGCAGCGGCGGGCGTCGTGGATGGCAGCCGCACGACCTGGGAACTCTGCATCACGTCACCAGGGCAGCTGTCATCAGCAGGTTTTGTCGAAACCCAGATCCCTCCGCTGCGGGATGGGGAGGTGCTGATTGAGGTCGCCGGCATCGGGCTCAACTTCAGGTGAGGCGGTTTTGGAATGAGTCATGTGCAGCTGCAGGGGACCTGGGTGCGCGCCTGCTGAGAAGCTGCTGCTTGGATGTGTCCCTGCACCGCTCCCGGCACTTTGGAGACAAGGTGGCCAGAGCCGAAACCGCCCCGCTCTTGCCGTTGTCCCGCCCCGCCCCCAACCACCCTGTTCCACCCACCCTCAATGCCAACTCAAGGGACGTGATGGTCGGCCTAGATCTGCTGCCGGGCTTCAAGGTGCCCCTAGGGCTGGAGCTGTCAGGCGTGGTGGCAGAGGTCGGCCCCGGCGTCGCAGAAGCGCTGCCCAAGCTGCGCCCCGGCGCCCGCGTCGCCGCCGTCTTGCTGGACGTCCTGAGCGGCGCCCCCGACGCTGCCGCCGCCGCGTCCGCCGCGCGCCCCGGCGCGGCCGGGCTCGTCGCCGTGCCGGCGGCACTGTGCGTGCCGCTGCCGCCCGACGGCGGCGGCGGCGATGCGCCGCTGGCGGAGGCGGCGGGCTACCTTGTCGGGCAGCTGACGGCGCACTACGCGCTGCTGGAGCGCGCGCGGCTGGCGCGGCGGGACACGCTGCTGATCCACAGCGCCCTAGGCGGCCTGGGCCAAGCGGCGCTGCGCGTCGCGCAGCGCGTCGGCTGCCGCGTCATCGCAAGCGCGGGGTCGGCCGCCAAGAGGGAGCGGCTGTCGCGGGAACAGGGCGTCGTCGCTGTCCTGGACTCGCGCGCGCCGCCGGCCAGCTGGGGCCCCGCGGTCGCAGCCGCGACGGGCGGGCGCGGCGTCAGCGTGGTGCTCAACAGCCTGTCGGGCGCGGGGCTGGTCGGTTCGCTGGCGCTGGTGGCGCCGTGTGGGCGGTTTGTGGAGGTGGGGAAGCGCGACATCTTGGGGGGCACGCCTCTTGACCTGAGCCTGCTCAAGCGCAACATCACGTTCATCTCGGCGCACGTGGACATGCTCGTGGAGGACGACGCGGAGACCCTCGTCCGGGTGAGTGAAGAGTGAATATGACTGTCCATCTGCATGTGCGCGTGCGAGTGCGATTGATGAATGTTTGCTGGGGTATGCTGCGTCGCGCTTGTGGGGTTTGATGCATGCATGCGCGTGTGCGAGCGGTTGCATTGCGTGGTGTGCGGAGTTCTTGATGGGGCGGATGCATAGTGGCGCACAAAAGGTGCCGGCGGTCAGGGGACGAGGGGTGCCGACGGCAGTCCAGGGTCGCGATGCCATGCCGACACTGTTTTAGGGGTGGCAGCGCACCCTCCGCACATCTTGTTTTGTATGCTATCCTTCTGTTTTGGTGCCATCGAGGCATCAAACATGGTACATATGGATTGCCAAGCAACACTCTTGATTCATTGTCCACCCTTTGATGCCCTGGTTATCCGCAGGTGCTGCATGAGAGTGTTGCTGCGCTATGGGACGCGCCCTCGCCGCCAGAGGTCACTGTGCTGCCCGTAGAGCAGGCTGGCGACGCGCTGCGGACTCTCGCCCGCGGGCAGCACACTGGGAAGCTCGTGCTGCGCGTGCCGCACGGGTGGTGGCCGCCCCCGGCGGCGCTGGCGGCGGCGCCGGAGCAGCCGCGGGCGCCGCCGCCGGCGCCGCCGGCCGGGCGCGCGGCTGCGCTGATGAAGGTCGCGCGGGATGCAAGTGACTCCGCAGCCGCGGCGCTCCCCACAAAGGCTGCGGTCGCAGCAGTTGCTCCGGCGCCGTCTGCCCCTCCCGCTGCGGGTGCAGGCGACGCCACACGCACGCCGCCGACGCCGGTGCCCATGCCCACGCCCTCGGCCCTGTCGCCGTCGTCGGCAGCTTCCCGCCCGTTCACGGGCGTGTTTGTCGTCACTGGCGGCACCAGCGGCGTCGGGCTGGAGTTCGCCGCGGCCCTCGCGACCACCGGTGCCGCGCGCCGCCTCCTGTTGCTCGGCAGCCGCGGCGCGGCCGGTCTCTCTGCGGCGGCGGCGGCCAGACTCGACGCGCTGCGGGCCAGCGGCAGCGTCGCGGTCGCAGTCGCGGCCTGCGATGTGTCCGACGCGGCGGCCATGCGCGCCGCGCTGGCGGCGGCTGGCGGGCCGATCGAGGGCGTCGCGCACTTTGCCACAGCCTACAGCGCCGACTCGACCGCCGCGCCGCACGCGCGCGACCACCCAGCGTTTGCGATCAAGGCTGCCGGCGCGCTCAACCTGCACGACGCGACGGCCGGCCAGCCCGTGCGCGCGTTCCTCCTCGCGAGCAGCTTTGGCCGCGTGAGCGGCATGGCGCGGCAGGCGTCGTACGTGATGGCAAACCAGGCGCTCGCCGGCGTCGCGCAGCTGCGCCGGGCGCTCGGCCTGCCGGCCGCCGTCGTCGACCTTCCGGCGGTGTCGGGGGCCGGCTACGTCAGCGCTTGGGCCAACGCGACGGACGTGCTGCACGCGCGCAGGCACCTGGCCGCCGCCGGGCTGCGGGACATGGCGGCGCGCGACGTGGCGGCACTGCTGCTGCGGATGCTCGAGCCGGACGCGCAGCGGGTGGGGCGGCCGGTGACAATCTTGCCGCGGTGCAAGCCGGCGGGTGGCGGGCGGCAGCACTCTGCTTTCAGCCGGCTGCGGCACCTGCTGCAAGATGACGGTCCAGCGGCAGGCTCCGTTTCTGTTTCGGAGCCGCCAGCAGCAGCGCTGGCGCCCCTGTCTTTGCTCCAGGAGGGATTTGCCGTGCCAGCGGCGACGGCAGCTGCCGGAGTGGTTGTGGCGGCCTCACCTGCAGCGCCAGGGTCCGCCGCGGCAGCTGCTGCGGCGGTCGACGATCCACAGGCGCGCGCCAACAATGCTGTGCAGTGTTTCACCGACACAGCACCGGTAAAGGGCAACCTCTCCGATGCGACAAGCAGCAGCCGCGCGGCGGCCGCCGCTGCGGCGGTGACCACAGCCGACGTGCGCCGCAGCATTGTGGTGTCCAAGCTGGCCGCGCTGCTGGGCTGTGGCCCTGAGGCCATCCCTGACCACGAGCCCCTGGCAGACCTGGGGCTGGACTCTCTGGGCGCGGTGGAGATGGCCAACTGGGCGGCGCACGAGTTTGGGGGTGGCGAGGCGGCGGCAGCTGCGTCGGTGCAGCAGCTGGACCTGCTGAGCGGCTTGACGCTGGCGGGGCTGCTGGCTGCGCTGCCTGCAGGCAGGGATGGCAGCAGCGGCCGCGGCAGCGGCCCTGGTACGCCCGATCGTGGAGTGGAGGCCCACGGCCGGCCACACGTGACAGACAACCCTGTCACCGCCGGAGTAGAAACACGTTGTTTTGGGAGTGGCACTGGCAGCAGCAGCGGCAGCAGCAGCGACGTCGGCAGCAGCCGGCGGACTGGCAGGGAGTCCACAGGGCAGGCGTCGGCTGCACCATCTGCCTCCGCCGCGGCAGCCGCCAACCTCGGCACACGCGGCGGAGCCGCCGCTGCAGACGCGCGCCGCAGCATTGTGGTGTCGAAGCTAGCCGCGCTGCTGGGCTGCAGCCCTGAGGCCATCCCCGACCACGAGCCCCTGGCAGACCTTGGGCTGGACTCTCTGGGCGCGGTGGAGCTGGCCAACTGGGCGGCACACGAGTTTGGGGGCGGCGAGGCAGCGGTGGCTGCGTCGGTGCAGCAGCTGGATCTGCTGGGCGGCTTGACGCTGGCAGGGCTGCTGGCCGCGCTGCCTGCAGGCAGGAAGGGCAGCAGGGGCCGCGGCAGCGGCCCTGGTACGCCGGATTGTGAAGTGGAGGCCCACGGCCGGCCACACGTGACAGGCAAAGTTGCCAGCGCAGATGCAGGCGCAGGTGTTTTTGCGGGTGGCAGTGGCGATTCGACCAGCAGCGGCACCGGCAGCAGCCCGCCCAAGGGCAGCAACTGGACAGGGCAGGCGTCGGCCGCACCATCTGCGTCCGCCGAGGCGGCTGCCGCCCCCAGCACAAGCGCCGTCGCGGCCACTGCCGACGCGCGCCGCAGCATTGTGGTGTCCAAGCTGGCCGCACTGCTGGGCTGCGGCCCTGAGGCCATCCCCGACCACGAGCCCCTGGCAGACCTGGGGCTGGACTCTCTGGGCGCGGTGGAGCTGGCCAACTGGGCGGCGCACGAGTTTGGGGGCGGCGAGGCAGCGGTGGCTGCGTCGGTACAGCAGCTGGACCTGTTGAGCGGCTTGACGCTGGCAGGGCTGCTGGCTGCGCTGCCTGCCAGCAGCCAGGGGGGCAACGGCCGCCGCAGCAGCGCGTGTACACCTGATGGTGGAGTGGAGGCACACGGCCAGGCGCGCGTGACAGGCAAAGTTGCCAACGTAGACGCAGGCTCAGGTGATTTTGGGGGCGGCACTGGCAGTTTGAGCAGCAGCAGCAGCAGCAGCAGCAGCAGCAGCAGCAGCAGCAGCAGCAGCAGCAGCAGCAGCAGCAGCAGCAGCAACGCTGGCAGCAGCCCGCCCAGGGGCGGCGAGGGAACAGGGCAGACATCAACAGCGCTAGCCGCTTCCATGGCAAGTGGCAGTGGAGCAAGTGGCAAATGCGAGGCAGCCGCCGCCCCCAGCGCAAGCGGCGGAGCCGCCACTGCAGACGTGCGCCGCAGTGTGGTGGTTTTGAAGCTTGCCGCGCTGCTGGGCTGCGGCCCTGAGGCCATCCCCGACCACGAGCCCCTGGCAGACCTGGGGCTGGACTCTCTGGGCGCGGTGGAGCTGGCCAATTGGGCAGGGCACGCGTTTGGGGGCGGCGAGGCAGCGGCAGCTGCGTCGGTGCAGCAGCTGGATCTGCTGGGCGGCTTGACGCTGGCAGGGCTGCTGGCCGCGCTGCCCGCCGCTCCGCCGGCCACTGCAGCAGCGGCCGCCGCCAAAGGCAGTGCCGTCGGCGGCGGGGGCAAAGCGAAGTCGAGCAGCGCCAGTCCAGAGCCGCCCCTCACGCCTGCGCAGTCCACGGAAGTGTTTGAGCAGGCCGCCGTGCCGCCAGCCGCCCCGGACGCCACCAGCGCTGCCGCCGGCGCTGGAGCTGGCAAGGCCTGCAGAGACCCCAGCGTCGGCCACGCTGCGGCGAGTCCCACCAGCGCGGCGGCCGGCATCCACGCTATCGAGGCCTATGTGCCCGCCAACCGCGGGTCGATCGAGGAGTTTGAGCGCCTGTTGGGCGACGGCGTCGCGGGGAAGTTCAGCCGGCGCATGGGGCTGCGCGAGGTGTCGTTCCCAGGCGCTGACGAGGATGCGGTGTCGATGGCGCTGACCGCGGTGTCGCGGCTCTTGGAGCGCCACAATGTGCCGGCGGCCAGCGTGGGGCGTCTGGAGGTGGGTGGGGCTGGGGGCTTGTGTGGCGCGGGGGCTGCAAAGTCAAGGTCAACTGCATGCCAACAACCTGGGCCCAAGTCTTTGGCGGCCCTGGCCGCGATATGCCGCCCAGGTTGCCCTTTCTCACGCGCGCTGGTCGCCGAAGCTCCTTTGCTGAATCCTGTTTTGTTCCATTCACAAGCAACACATGCATGTGCCTGCCACAGGTAACCCGCTTTCACGCGACAAAACCACACGCGACCTCTCAGCTCAGCCGCGGCGCGCGTGCCACCGCCGCCCAATTCACTATGCCAACCCCCAGGTTGGCACCGAGTCGGCTGTCGACAGGGCCAAGTCGATCAAGTCATACCTGATGCAGCTGTTCCCCGACGCGGCCGCGGGGCTCGAGGGCACCGACGTGGTGCACGCCTGCTACGGCGGCGCGGCGGCGCTGCTGAACGCGCTGGCCTGGGTGGAGTCCGAGGCGTGGGACGGGCGCTGGGCGGTGGTGGTGACAACTGACGTCGGGTTCAACCACCCGGACGGTGAGCTGTTTGGGCAGTAGCTTGCTTGATACGGTCCGACTTGACGACCGCCTTGGCCACACATACATGCGGCTGGATGGCTGCTTTGAGTTGCGGTGGTTCGCGTTGAGGCGCTGCACAGGCAACCTGCCTTGCTGCGTGCCTTGAGTCGCGCGCATGTCTTGTGTGTGGTGAGAGAGGTCTGATGCAGCGTGCACAGCTGCATACCTGGCCGCGAGAGCGCATTTCAGTCTACCAGCAGCCCTGCATTGACCAATCCGTCGCTCACCATGGCAACCCACACTCTCTCGCACCTCTTGCTGCCATGCCCCGCACAGGCCCTCTCAGCTGCTTCTTCGGCGCCGGCGCGGTGGCCATGCTGGTTGGCCCGGACGCGCCGCTCGTAATCTCCCCCACCCGTGCCACTGTCTCCCGCCACGGCCTGGAGTTCCTCAAACCCACTGCGGGCCTCGCCGCGCCCCCTGCCAATGCGATGCTCTCCCCATCCGCGGCAACGACGACGCCGCAAACCTCGGCAGTGCCAGATCACGCGGCAGCGGAGGCAGCAGCTGCCGCGGCGGCCGCGGCGGGCGGGTTCCCTGTGGTGGACAGCGCCGGCAGCCTGCAGGCGTACCTGGGCGCACTAGGCGAGGCCTCGGCGGCGCTGGCGCGCCTGATGGGCTGGGATGGTGGCGTGCTGGCTGCGGTGGATCGGCTAGTGGTGCACTCGGCATCAGAGTGAGCCAATCCTGTGATTTACTTGCACGTGCCTGCACAAAGCAGGGAGGGGCAGGGAGTTAACTGGTGTAGCTTATGTGGGTGATTGAAACGATCTTTCTTGGTCAAGGCCTTGACAACCTGCTCACGACTGGCAGAGCCCATGACCTGCTGTGTGTATGCTACATGATGCGCTGCGTGTCAGGTTCAGCAAACCGGTCATGAAATAATCCCCACCTGCAGGTATTGGGTGGAGAAAGCGGTGCAGCACCTGGCCAAGCTCCAGGCCGCCGCATCTGGCGCCCCTCCGCCGTCCCCTGAAGAGCTGCAGGCCATCTATGATTCGAAGGCCGCGGCCGGCGCTGCGGCTGCGCGGCTGGCGGGGCCGCTGCTCACCAACAGCCTGTTCTTCAACCTGCTGTCCCTGCTCAGCCGCGAGCGCGACACGGCGGTCGCCAAGCGCATCGCGCTGTTTGCATACGGCAGCGGGGTGTGCGCGACGATGCTGGTGCGCAAATTTGGGGGTCATTGGGGTGGATGGCGCCGTCACTGTCCTTGCCTGAGATTATGATGACTCTAATCCAACTAGGCATCAATCCAACTATGCAGTCACATCCACGGGAGGGCCCATTCCTGCGTCTGCCGATGCAGCGCAGCTGTCCACAGGCCCTATTCGCGCGCACCCATCATTCAACACCCTGTTGCTGCAGCCTGACTGCCCTGCCCACCCCTCCAATCATCCACACATCATCCACCGCTTTCCAGGTGGCGCAGGTGCGCGCCCTGCCCCGCTTCTCGTGCGTGTTTGAGGGCTTGACCCAGAACCGTGTGCTGATGCCGTGGCCCCAGTTCCAGGCCATGGCTGCCGCCCACACCGCCGGCTGCCTGCGGCTCGGCTGGGAGCCGGCCGCGGCACCGGGTCAGCCGGCGCGCGTCGCGCCGGGCGTGTTCTTCCTGACTCGAGTCGCAGCTGGCGGCGGCCGGTACTATGAGCGGGAGCCGCCCGCGGCGCGGCTCTTGGCTGCGGCGGGTGGGCCCGAGCTGCTGCCCCCTGCAAGGCCCAACAGGGCCTCGACCTCTCCAGCCACTGCGCCCCTGGCGCCGCCGCCGGACGCCGCGGCCGGCCTGCGGCGCGCGCGCCTGGACGCCGCCGCCACGCGCGGCGGCCCCTTCGACGGGGCCGCGTGGTCGGCACGCGCGGGGCCCGCGCTCGCCGACTTCGCCGCCTCCCAGGTGCAGGCCCACGCCGGCCTCGTCGGAGGCCGGCCGGCGCGCATCCTGGATCGCGCGGCGGCCCTCTCCTCATCGCTCGCGTCCATCGACGCCGCTGGCGCCAACGGCGCGTTTGTTACAATCCTGAGCACCGACGCCTCCAGCCGCGAGGCCCTGGTCCGCACGCGTGCTGGGGAGGAGCGCGCCGTCATCAACGCGGGCTCCATGGACTACCTCGGACTGTCGCAGCACCCGGCCGTCGTCGCCGCGGCCTGCGCCGCGCTGACCGAGCACGGGTCGTGCCTGACAAACAGCCGCGCGCTGTGCGGGTCGGGGACTGTCCACCGGGAGCTAGAGGCTGAGCTGGCGGGCTACTTTGAAAAAGAGGCGGCGCTGCTGTTGCCCGCAGGTGGGTTCAGGGTATAGCAAGGTGCACGCGAAACCACGGGTTGATGTGGGGTGCTGCTAATGCACATGACCGCGCGCGCTTGCACATGCCAGCAAGACTGTAAACCTCCAAATGCTCGCACAAGCGTGCACATAGGCACATTTGGTCGCACGCGCTCTGACAACCGCGTGATAATCCCCCTGGCCCTAATCAAGAACACGCTTCTCTGCTTCAACCAACGCAGGCTGGCTGGCGTGTGCCGCGCCACTCAAGGGCCTGGCCAAGCCGTGTGACATCATTTTCATCGACGCCCACGCGCACGACTCGCTGGCTTCGGGCGCCAAGCTTTCGGGCGCGCGCGTGGTCCGCTTCAGGACGGGTGCGTGCCTTGCTCGGCAAATGGTCGTGCTTCTTGTGCCCTCGCTGGCTTGCTCGTGAGGCTGGTTTGCTTGCCTGGGCGGTAGGTGGTGCATGGTCTCGCAAGAGCGCTGCGCAGTGCAAGCGACAAAGTGATTTTCCACAGTGCGCCTGCCCACCTCTAGCGGCCTGTTTTTGCCACCGCCCTGCACGGCTTGCAGCATTCATTCCACCCTGCCTCCTCGCTCACCATGCTCTCTCTCCCTTTATTGACTTGCTTGACATTTACACCCACTCTCACAACCCCCCCATCCTCCGACCCCGACCCCTCACAACAATACTTGGTGAATGACTCAACAACCAACAACCGACCGCAGGCGACGCCGCCCACCTGGAGTCGCTGCTGGAGAAGCACAGGGCCGATGCAGAGGACGCGCTCATCGTGACAGAGTACGTATTCAGCGTGGACGGCCGCATCATGGACGTCGCCAGGTGCGCAGCAGAGGCCGCCACTGCTTGGCTGCCGGCACTAGGCGGCGAGCGCAGCCTCCGTTGGACTGGGTTTTGCCGTCTGCATGTGCTGCTTCTGCTAGCTAGACTCTGGTCCAGCACCTGGTGGTGCTTGTAACTAAGCTTGCATCGGGTCCTGCAGCTGTGCTGCCTGGATGCGAAGTCACTCTACTGCCACTTGGCATCACACTATGCCCTCACGGCCCCACCTGAGCCTGCGCACCCAATCACGGGTCCCCCTCCCCGCAGCTTCCGCCGCCTGGCGGACGCCCACGGCTGCCTGCTTGTCGTTGACGTGGCCCACGGCCTAGGCACAGTCTCGTCGCTGGTGGCGGACGTCGCGTGCGCAGACCTCGTCGTGGGGACCTTCAGCAAGGTGCAGCCGCACAAGGGGGTTTGTTTCTTTCTTTGTGTGTGTGTGTGTGTGTGTGTGTGTGTGTGTGTGTGTGTGTGTGTGTGTGTGTGTGTGTGTGTGTGTGTGTGTGTTTGGTGTCCATCACTCCGCACCCGCCTGGAGCATTCGCGTTGGTAGCTGCGCGGGTACGCCTTGGACAAGCGCCAAGGTCCGCGGTGTGCCAATGATGCGCACGGGTGCGGTGCCTGTAATCCTGATGCGCAGCCTGCTGCGCAGCCATTTGGCTCGCCACTGAACAGGACAGCCAGGGGGCAGCCTCCACTTACGCCGCCCCAGAGCTTGTGCCACCTTGCATGACACCAATGCATGCCCTCATCAACTGCAAATGCTCCCACACATACCTGCAGACGCTGGTCTCCCAGGGCGGCTTCGTGGTCGCCAGCCGCCCGCTCATCGACTATCTTTCCGCTTTTGGGTTTGTATTCACCGCATCGCTCGCCACCAGCACCGCCGCCGCCGCGCTGGCCGCGCTGCGCGTGCTGCGCGCCGAGCCCTGGCGCGTCGCCGCGCTGGAGCGCAACGTCGCGGCCGCGCGCGCGCGCCTGCGTGCGCGCGGCTGCAGCGTGGCGGAGCGCGGGGGGCCGCTGCTGCATGTCGTTGCCGGCAAAGGCGGCGACGGCGACGCGATGGCGGCGTGGAGGGCGGCGTTCGAGGGGGGCGTGTACGTGCACCCTGTTCTGTTCCCCATGGCGGCCCGCGGCGCGGGCGGGCTGCGCGTGACGCTTGGGGCGGGGCTGGACTCTGAGGCCCTGGACACCGTGGTGGAGGTGGTGGCGGCCGCAGCCGCGTTTGCAGGGGCAGGGCCAGCAGAAGATGGCAACGGCACCGCCTGAGCGCTGAAGTTCCCTGGTGATTGGCTGATACTAAGTTATGAAGGCTGCTGATACCGTTATGCCAGCGAACTCCCGCGAGTGCACCTGGGGGCCTGGCTGAGGCGCACAACTTTTTGGAAGCAACTTCCCTACGTACACCCTCGTGCCTGATGATGATACGGCCTTAGTTTCTCTGCCAACCTTCGTTCCCTGCTCACAACTGTTGCGAGCTGGTGCTTTCATGGGGTTTCGGGAGCTGGTGCGTTCATGGTTTTTTGCAAGCTAGCTGGTGCGTTCATGGGGTTTTGCAAGTTCGCTTGCGCGTTCATGGGAAATCATGCTTTCTGAACCTGTCACCTATAAATGCCGATGGCGGCATGTACCACCCAACTCGTGCGCCACGCCTGTGTTGCCCAGGCCACCGGCCCATTCGAAGCGGGGCCATGTGGGTGTACATCATGGTTCAGTGAGTTGACGGAGTGCTGTGCTCTCGCAAGCCTGCAAGAGTTTGTTCAACGACTCCCACATCACACACCAACACACAAACAAACAAAATCGCACCACGGCGCACCACCTCATGCTTTGCAATTTGAAGAAGATTTATCACACGGCCTGCTCAGCACTTCGCTGGCGCACAATGCGCTGGGGCCCCACAATTGCATGCGCTACACACTCCTTGCTGGATCGCTCTCGACTGCTTGCTTTCTCTGGCGTTGTAGCTCCCTAATTTTGCTTGCCCACATGATTCGTGCCCGGTTGGTCTCCAATCCTGCCACGTCATCGTCCCCTGTCGCCGCAAACAGTGTCCTCCTTCCAAGTCTTTCTTGCGTATGTACAGAGCCATTGCTGGCAACGCGTGTGCCCTGCTGGCACGCCTCTTACCCTGCCTGCTCCCGCATTTGCTGCTGCCCTGTTTGGGCGACCTGCCTGCAAATTCATCAGAGTCAAAACGCTTGCGCCAGCCGCCTGGCTTGGACGGGCGCCATGCACGTTGAAGTATCCATCATTCACAAGAGGTGATCGCACCTGCCACAACTGCTCTCACCCTAAGGCAATCGCACATGCAGTTCACTGTGTGGTGCTGGTGCAGCCTGTATGCCGGCTCAGCCAAACACTTCTCATGTGCGCCAGGTACCTGCATCAACAGCCCTCTTTTCTTGTTAAGCGCGTGTGTTTCTGAAAGATGCTTGCATGGGTGTTGCTGAGGCCCCAAATGCATGTTGCATTGAACTGTGATGAGAAGGCTCACCACGAACATTACTGGTACCTTGTATAAGCCCGTGTGGTGTTGGGTGGTTGCAGAACGCATGGATGGAGCTATGTAATACAACAGTGATGCTCTGACACTCGACACTCATGTGGTGTTCTAACCCCTTTGAAATGCAACAACATATTGAGGTAAGCAGTCTATCATGCCAGCAATACTACTCAGCACGCGGCCAACAAAAAGGGGGTTGATTGCTTCGACAACAATGTTCTTGACAACTCACTGGCCGGCCTCTTGGAACGCCAAGCAGCAAGCAGGTACGAGGCTGCGTGCGCACAGGTCACTCCTTGGCCGCCGCCGCCGCCGCCCTCTTCTCAGCCATCTCCTTGGCCATGTTCGTCACCTCGGGCGAGCCCGACGTTGCCTTGAAAGACGGGCGCTCAGAGATCCTAGCGATTTGACGGGGTAGTGGTTGCCAAGCGAGGCAGGACCGCCAGGAGGGCCAGTGGAACGAGGTTGTCACAGCATGGGCGCAGGCCGTTGATAGAGCGGAAACACTTATCAGCTCTTTCGTCCCACTCCTCACGAGGCGTGAGGCCATGGACTGCTTCAATGCATGGCGGCCGGCGCCCCGGGCTCACAAGAGACAAGGAGACCGCGCGCAAACGCAGCCGGCCGCGTTTGCAGACGCTTGCGTGGGCCATGGTGGCTTGCGTCTCATGCATATGTTCATGTGCATGTCACCCCGGGCTGGCAGCACCCTTGTGGGGCCACCTGTTGATGTACGCGACCACGTTTGGCCAGGGCGAAAGGTCCACTTGCGGCAGAAACACTGAACAGGCACGAGTTAGATGCGTGGCACGAGGCACGAGGTGGGTGGCGCGGCGGCGTACAGGTTTGTAAGGTGGGGGTATGGAAGGGGTGGAGCGAGGCGGAAAACGCTCAGGGCTGCGGGCAGTTGGCTGTTGGGCAGGGCACGCGATCGCCACTCGCGGGTGTGGTGCAGGGCAGCTTGCGTGGGCCATTGGTCTCACTGGGCATGTAGGTCAGGTAGGCCCTGGGGCGGCACAAGAAGATGGGTACATGGGGAGGTTGCAATGAGGTGAAAATGCGGGTGATAGAGAGTGTGTGAAAGAGCAGGCATGCGTGCGCCGAGCAAAATCGCAGCAGTAACGTGTGGAGGGGCACCCAGTTCAGGCCGAGGTTTGAAATGGCTCCAAGAAGAAACAAATGCAGGGGGGGCCCGCAGGCGCGGCGAGCCCGAGGTTGGCGCCTGTGCGCACGCCCCACGCACAAGGGCGGATGCCTCACAAAAGCCCCATGCGTCGTTGTATTCACACACAGGAATGGCGCATGGAGTGTGATGAGCCTTGAACATCACTCGACTCACCCAACCGCAAGATCCGCCACGCTGAACTTCCCACCCTCAAGATATTCCCTGTCAGCCAAGACCTTGTCCAGGGGGGAAAACACCTTGGGCAATGTGGTGTCCCTGGGGTAAGGGATGTGTGTTTAGGAGATATTCGAGATTGGAAGGGCTGCAGGAGATGACAGACACTTGGGCTGATCAGGGTGAGACCTGTTGGATGGGTGACTGCCAACCAAACAGTGCTGCGGCCCATCATCCGTACACGTGTGCCTAGACCCTGCCTCACCTGACCGACTCGATGAACATTACGGGCGCCAGCGTCGCGTTGGCGAACAGCACCCACTGCGCCGCCAGCGCGCGCTGCTCCGTGGTGGTCACGCCCGAGGCCTCGGGGAAGCGCTCTGCCAGGTACAGCAGGATGGCGCCGCTCTCAAACTGCGGTGGGCAATAAGTTCATGCGGGCGCTTGGCTGTCGTGTGTTGCCATCAAAAGATGGCGGAGGCGGACCAGACAGCGGAGCGGGGAGGGCAGGCGGTATGAGGGAGGGGACCTGCATGGCCTTGGATAGGGTTGCGCACCAAATGGCCTGTGCAAAGCAGGAGCACAAGGCACGACAGGTATCCCTGTCACGGGCGGCCTGGCGTCGCATGCACCATCCAAGAAACGGCGTGCAGATAACGAAGCTGACAGAGCCAACAGCAGTGCAGATTGTCATCACAGAGGCGGCTCAGCGCAGCGCGCCCCACCCACCAGGCGCAGGTCTCCATCCTCGATAGACGGAACCTGTATGTGAATTGGCGGCACGATGCATTCGCAGGTGTTGAAATGTTCAGCGGTTACGGGCATCTTTATAATCGTTATCAGGGCACGGGTACTTCCAGCCTCTTGTCGTGTGCCATCAAGGCACGCACAGCTGAAGGAGTTTGCTTCTGGCCCAGGCAGCAAGGTGTCGGCCAACATCACACCTCGTCCACGTGTGCCCTACCAGTCCAAAGGGGAACTTGTCGGTGTACCCTGGCGCCTTGTGCTCCCCGGCCTTGAAGTCCAGGATCACCTCCTCCGCTTGCACACCCAGCTCATGGAGGTACCCTGAAGGGGGGGGGAGGGGGAGGAAGGGGGAATGAGGGTTGGCGGAGTGTCAATGTCATATTTCATTATTGATCCATTGGCGTGGGCTTGAGCGCACGGCAAGCCCAAGGCAAAGGCCACTTGCACCGTGCAAGTGACTGCACAGCCCCGCTGCTGGCGGCGCGAGCAATGATCGGCATCAGCAGCGGTGAAGCACCAGGTGGTGCGGCTACGACAGCACAACTGATCCTTCGCGTTGAATATCCGCTCATGCCAGACCACGAGCGTCGCTTCGACATCAACTCACAGCTCACGATCTGCCCGCGCGACGCGGGGTTCGTGTACAGCTTCATGGCTCTGTTGGTAATCAAGGACACCGTGCGCGACTATTCAGCTAGCTTGCCTCTGCGGGGGGTCAAGGCAGGTGCATGAGCATGGCCCCGGTGCTGTGCGTGCTGTGAGTCAGAGGTATGCAACAAGCGCTGTTGGCTGGGCGGGTGTACAATTGAAAGACATTGTGCGATAACATCTTACAGGTTTGTACTGGGAACAGCTACGGTGAAGAGGTTGAACCGCTGGTGTGTCTGATTTACTGCGAGCCGATCGGGTGTCATCATCTCATACACCAGAGTGGGGAGGGTGCATCCGCCAGCGCCTCGCACCAGAGAGCTTGAAGTACAGCACTCTGCTGTGCTGCAAGCGTTTCATACGCTCGGATTGCGTGATGCAGAGCTGAGATGATTGTGAATGTTTTGTGTTGGGAGGGTGCGCCCCCAGCCCTTCAAAAAGCACAGGTGCCCCTGTGTCGCGGGAAGTGCGCAGTCACCGGGTGGTTGGCGGCTTCATCCGTCAGCAGCCACTGCCAAGCGCGTACAAACACTGAGATGATGATGTGCAGTAGACCTTGGAATGGCCAGCCAGCCCGTCCCTGATTGTTATCGGCATGCGGTGCACCAACCAGGGGAAAGGTTCAAGCCTGACTGCTCTCACAAGAGACGCATCACGGCTGCGCATGTGCTGAGAAACCCCACCTGTGGCGCTTTGTCTGTTGCTGGTGCCTCATGTATGCCAGCCCGTCAGCACACTGCTGACCCGTGCGTGCCATGCACCCGTCCATGCTTGAGGGAATGAATGCATGTCTGCATGCCTGCTGCAGTGCGTGCATTTGTGAGGTGTTGCTGCTACAAAAAAATACACCACAGTTTCATGGCACTGACCGTGCAAGACGCGGCCACTTGCCCTACTTGATGACTTCGCAGATGCGACAGCAGCTCCCAGCTTTCCATCGCGTTCGTTGATGTCGAGCAATAATGTTGCTGCTGGCAGGCCAAAGTAGGCCTGCTAGGTGAGTCCAGGTCGACAGTGCAGGGATGTACTCGTCAACAAACAGCAAACCCTGCGGATGCTCATGCCATCAGTGATTGTGCAGGTTTGCATCCTGGATCGTTGTGCATCAATCAAGCTGTGCAGCAACCAACCCAACAAGAAGCTGCATCACGAATATGGGTCATGCACGCCAGCAGATGGCACCAGCTCTTTGAAATGGTTGATGGGACAACAGTAAAAGGGCGCTTTTATACACCTGTATGGGGCCTGCCTTGCCGTTGCACACTCTGGTGCCGCTAGCGTGCGGCTGCAGGGATTGCCCTGCTGGCCGTTCTGGTCTGCTATGCCCTGGGATGGCACCCGGCACGTGCGAGAGGCTGTAGCTTGGGCAGTGATGATGGCTGGGGCAAATGCGAGTCGCCTATGGCTGGCGTGAAGCAGAGCCATGATACCAAGCACTGTCACAAATTGTAACCATTTCTAGGTGCGTGCTTGTGTGTTAGGCCGCTCCAATGTGCTTGGCCAGAGCTGTGAGCAAATGACACCATATACCTAGATTTGGGCGCATCTCGCCTCAATGATGCAACATCGTCCAAGCAACCAGAGTTCTACTGCCACAAGTGAAAAAGGCAGCGCAAATGTGAAGTGTGCCGTGACACTTCTCCAACAGCAGTGTGCAGCTCGCATGCAAAATGCGGGCAACGATGAGGGCGGGGCGCACAGTCGGTTGCTGGTGATGCCTACACAAGCCACTGCATGGCCTCTCAAAACTGGCAAACCGGATCAGCATGCTGACCAAAGCTGTGAAACTCGACGCTATATGGTTTTTTAGATCACTCCTTGGCCGCCGCCTTCTTCTCAGTCATCTCCTTGGCCATGTTCATCACCTCGGGCGAGCCGAATGTAGCCTTGTACGACGGGCGCTCGGAGATCCTGAGGAGTTGTATGAGGTTGATGACTGAGGTGAAGCTGCTTGAAGACCCAGTGCAACAGGGTCGGATATCGGATGCCGCCGGGAAGCAGGCCGCGCAGGGCCCGGCCGCCATCAGGGCACAACGGCGGAGGATTGAGGCGATCGACTGCTTTTGTCCAGAGCGGCCAGCGCCGATGGGATGGGCGCCGGAAGCTCGCGCAAGGCACAAAAACCGTCAACCAACGCGGCAAGCCGCGCTTACATGCGACATCTAACGCCGGACTAGGTGACTTGCTGGTCATGACAATGCGCATCAACATGTCATTTGGGGGCGCGCCCGGTCCGCTGTTGGGCCCACCTGTCGATGTACGCGACCACGTTCGGCCATGTTGACAGGTCCATGTGGGGCAGGAACACTGAAAGGGGACGAGGTGGGTGCACGGCGGGAGGAGTGCGTCGGTGGGCTGAGGCAGGGGGGGCCGGAGGCAGTCGCCGGCAGGGGCATTTGGGCAGGTTGCTGCTGGGTAGGGCGCACACGCATGTGGCTCAAGGCAGGACTGCCAGTGGGGCCGCGCCGAAAGGCGTCGGTGTGGGGCTGGGATCTCACTTTGGATGTAGCCCAGGCAGGTGCTGGATGGTGCACGAGCACAAGGATGCAGGGTCGAGGACGCGGCGCAACATGAGGGGAGGGTGTGAGGCCCAGACAAAGGAAGGCGGCGCGTGGGGTTGCAGCAGCAATGTGCTGCGGAGTGCGCAGTCCAGACAGGGATATCCAAGGGCTCCAGGGCAAACCGTGCGCAGGAGGGTGGGCGCTGCCTGCCAGAGGCCAGCGCCCAGGCGCACGCCCCGTGTAAGGATGTACATCAAAACACAAAGCTTGTTTCGCTTCCCGTTTGCATTGTTTGCAGAGTGAGTTTAAAGAGGAGCACTGAACGTCGCTGGCCTCACCTGACGGCCACGTCCGCCACGCCAAACTTGCCGCCCTCCAGGTAGTCCCTCCCGGCCAGCACCTTGTCCAGAGGGCCAAGCACCTTGGGCATTTGCGTTTCCCTGGTGAGGATAGGGGGACGTCATGGTGTGTGTGCAGCACGGTTTAAGAGTGGCCTGGCTGGTCAATTCACAGACTCTTGGGCCGATCAGGCCTTGACTGCCTCCTCAACCAAGTGCCGGCCACCAGTATGCTGCTGCGGCCACCACCCGCCCCTGAACCCGGCCTCACCTCTGCGATTCGAGGAAGACTGCGGGCGAGAGCGTTGCGTTGGCGAACAGCACCCACTGCGCCGCCAGAGCGCGCTGCTCCGTGGTGGTCACGCCCGAGGCCTCGGGGAAGCGCTCCGCCAGGTACAGCAGGATGGCGCCGCTCTCAAACTGCGGTGAGCCGTTGGAGGGTGAGGGGGGTTTATTTTGGCTGATGTAGGTGTGTTGCCACGGAAGGAGGGCGGATGGGCATCACACAAGGGGGCACAAAATGCCCGCGCAGGCAGGAAGCACTAGGAAGAAGACAATTATGGCCCAGATTCGGGCACAACTAGCTTGTGCGCAGGAGGCACACCCCATTGTGACGTTTGCGGCTTGGCAGCGCATTTTCCATGTTGTTATGGGCTATACATCAAGCTGTATGAGCTGGCGGTTTGGCAAGCCATTTGGCAAGGACAGCTGCAGGCCACCTACCAGGCGCAGGTCCCCATCCTCCAGGGCCGGCACCTAAGGATTGTTGGTGCAGGATGGGTGGAAGATGATGAGTACGTCATAAGCAAGCAGCAGCAACTTCGGCATGGGAGGAGGGTGGACGCGTTTACATGCGAGACTGTTGAGAACACTAGCCGTGTACAGCTAAAGAAGTTTCGTCTCTGGCCCAGGCAGCAAGGTATCAGCCAACATCACACCTCGTCCACGTGCCGTATGCCCTACCTGTCCAAACGGGAACTTGTCGGTATACCCAGGCGCCTTCTGCTCCCCTGCCTTGAAGTCCAGGATCACCTCCTCCGCCTGCACACCCAGCTCAAGGAGGTACCCTGAAGGGGGGGGGAGGGGGAGCGGGGTTGGTGTTATTGGGAGGTTGCGGGGTGATGAGCCCTCGTAAGGCTGACTCAGCACAGAGCGAGCGGGTGAGTTTGGGCGTGGTTGCTGTTGTAATGCTTGCGGAGGGTGAGCGAGAGCACGATTTGGCTGCATTGTCAGATAAGGGTACAACGGTTTTTCTAGTGAGTGGTGCGGAGGGGGAAGGTGCAGGTCCGATAGCTGTGGGGGTGGGCTGAGAGGTGTAAATGATGACTTGCTGTCGGCTGGGCACAGCAGTTTGTGCGGCTGTGCGGGGCGCATGACCAGAGGTGGCAGACATGCATGCCGATCAAGTGTCAGGAAAGAGCGATATCGCGTCCTGCGGGGGCGTGGGCTTGAGCGCATGGCGCGCGGGCGTGCCGCTGCCCAGATCCGCATTCAAGGTCACATGCAAAACAGCATCAGCGGCGGCGATGCACGGTGTGCCAAGACTACGGCAACATCTCAAGCATCTCATGTTGCTCAAATGCACGTGTTGCCCTGCGAGTCTCGCTTCGAACGAATGTCGACTTACAGCTCACGATCTGCCCTCGCGACAGGGGGTTGGTGTACAGCTTCATGGTCTTGTATCGTTGAATAAACACCGTGTGTGATTGGTGGAGCAAGCAGGCCGCTGCTGGGGGTCACAGCGGGTGCGCGGGCACGGCCGGTGCTGTGCGTGCTGTGGGTCTTTGGCAAGGTTAGTTGGCTGGACGGGTGTGCAATTGGACACAAAATTGTGTGTATAGCTACCCTGCATATAGCCTGCACGACATATGTACGGCACAGGCAGTGTAACTCAAGTGAGTGTGTCTCCCCGGGCGCCGCTAAGCGGCACTTTCATCATCCTGTCGTACACCAAGGTACAGAGCAGGAGCTGCGTCCCAAAGTGGTATCCAGGGCAATGCCTATGATGTGCAGATGCCCGCCGTGGCGCAGGCCTGCACTCCCGTTGCGTACGGTGCAAACAGCAAGCAAGCAGCAAGTAAGGGGCGCCCCTTCAACGAGCCCAAAACCTGTGTGAACAATGTCAGGCCCCCCTCAACCAGATCGAGTTTGCTGTGTCTCGTGCCTTGGGTGGCTGGCAGCCGCAATCCCCTCCCAAAAGTGTACGGCCGTGTGGGCCGATGGCGTTAAGATGGACTTGAGCGTTTCAAAACTGCTGAGCGACGAGACACCTCCCAGACGTTGACACTCGAAAACAATGCTCACAATCAATGGACTTGAGGCTCTTGCGTGACAATCAACATGCACCCAGCAAGTTCAAGGCTTCCCAGCGCCATGTGGCAGCCACAAATGCATGCAGTGCAAGCAGCAGTCGTCGACAAGAGGTAACAGATCCTGCAATCGCACGTCATTTTATTACATATGTGCAATAATATTTTCAAGGTCACTCCAGCTCATGAATGCATTGATGTGAGGTTCCCAGCAGGCAGCAACAGCAGGCAGCATGCCAGTAGGCAAGCTCACCGGCAAGGTTAAACTTTTCGTACTGCCTGCTGTGACCCTCACATCACACGCGTGACGGCAATGGCAAGCACAAAGCAATTGATGCAGCATTGCGTAGCAGATGCAAACACCAGTCAGTCTCCACTGGCCGGCACGTGCGCGTACGTAATTCATATACCAGACACTTGGCGTCAACGACCGATGCTATGAACAGGCGCATGAGGGATTTGTCGAATTAGCCCCACTGCTGCTGCGTGAATCCCCACCCCATCTTTGGCAGTGCACCCTCTGGCATTCCCTGTGGCGCATCCCTGGAGCCCTGCAGTGCCGTAGCGTGGCCTCAGCCTCACAAAACATTAGCTTGTGGCCCAGGGCATTGACATGAATTCGGCCACGTCCTCAGCTCGTGTTGTGGCCGCCGCGGCCTCCTCGTCCTCACCACCCTCTCCCTCGGCCTCCTCCGGCCCCTCGCTGCCGCCCGCAGCTCCGGCCGGCCCCGCTGCGGCCGCGGCGTCGGCGACCCGGCGCGTGACGCGGCGGATGTTTGACTCGACAGAGTCCTGATTGGGTGAACGACGGTGAGGGAGATGGGTCAGAGGGATTGCAACCTGAGATGTGAGGGGGATTTAGAGGAGCAGGGCGTGTGTGCTGATGCTTGCCAAACCTTGGAACATGCAGCACTGTATTGTGCTGCCTTGCGGCGGCCTGGCTTGGCCTGAGTCGCGACCTTGGCATTTTTGCACCGATCATTTGTGGAGCCCTTGACTGCGTGTTTGGATCACAGTTCTGCAGAGGGCCTCACCTTGACCCAGAAGCGGGTGACCGTGACCTCCTTGGTCTGCCCAAATCGGTGGCAGCGGCCCACGGCCTGCAAGGGTCGGGGGCAGGGCACGTTTTGAGGCGCAGGACCCGCAAGAAGCGATGGGGCACTGCTGGCAGCGCTGCCAAGCCCCCCTGACCCTCCCAGCCTGCAGCAGCAGCTGTTCGATCGCAGATGGCAACTGACGGCTGGATGATTGGACGCCATTTGGGGCTAAAATAAAAGGTGTGAACGAGCAACGCAAAGCAGCATTTAGGTCGTTCAGGAAGGGAGGCGTTGTAGCACATGCGCAGAAGACACGTTTCGGTGGCAAGTGTCCAACCACAAAGCAGCAACCATCTGGCCCCTTGTGGGTTCTGAACAAGGAAATGAGCACCCCACGCTGCTGGCAAATGTGAAGTAATGTGATGTGTTGGCATGTGATAATCGTGATAAATTGAAACTCAAAACCCCTACCTGCATCTCAGTCGAGAGCTTGAGCTGCGGGTCCAACAAGAACATGTGGGACGCGGCTGCATGGGATGTAGTGTGGTTTGGAGGAGGTGGGGATTGTGTGTGATGGTGGTGGGATTGCAGCTGATTGTGGTGGAGTGGCAAGGTGTCCAAGCAAGAGCAGCGCGTTAACGCTTGTGCACGTTGGTGATTGGTCAACGAAAGCCCACGAGCGTGAGGGCACCGCGGGCGTCCTCTCGCTGCGCAGTGCGGCACGGCGCCAGCCGGTCCATGGACATAGAGACCGTGGGGTGCGCCATCCCTGAGCCCTCACCCGTCAGCGTGAGCCCAACTGCGCCGGCCCTCATGGACAGCAGGAATATGGTGGTGGGTGGGTCGGTCTGGAAGGCCGCCACCGCCTGCTTGCGCTGCTCCAGGGTCAGGCCGCCCTTGAGGTTCCTGTGTGTGTGTGTGTGTGTGTGTGTGTGTGTGTGAATGTGTATTTGCATCTGAGTGTGTGCGCGTGTGTGGCGGGGTGCAACTGTGTGCGTGCAAGTGTGTGACTGTGTACGCAGGTGTGTCAATGCGCACGCATGCGCGTGCGCATATAATGTACTGCGTCGATGGGCGCCAACGCAAGGCCGCAAGCACAGCGCGTGTGCTCACACCTGTGCTGCAGCCCCAGGGACGGCAGGCCCTCTGCAATGGCCTCCAGCGCCGCCGGGAAGTCGCTCATGATCAGGACCTGGGCAGGTGGCGCGTGAGGTGACGGGCGGGTAGAGGCTTTTGGAGGCGACTTGAAGGGGTCAGAGTAGCCGGTGTTGTGACAGCCACAGCAACACTGCTTTCAAAACATCTGATTGGCTGACCCGTCGTCGTGCTCTACAGTGTCAGCCCAGCCCGCCCGCTGCTCACTCCAGCAGCCGCAGGCACCATCCCGTCCCCTGCCGCACAACACCCCTGCACCTCACCGCAACCCCCACCCGATCCAACCCCTGCCGCCTTCCGACTTCTGCAGGTAACAACCCTAAACCCCGAGCCTGCGCGCACCTTGCTGCCGGGCTCCCGAGCCTTCAGGTCGCGCAGCTCCTGCAGCACCGCCTCCGTCTTCGCACCAAAGTGCCGCACCACCCGCGTGCGCTGCGGCCGCTGCGGCCGCTCCGGCCGCGGGACGGGCAGGCCCATCGCCGCGTAGGCCATGGCCGTCGCGGGGTCGACCTCGTCCTCCTCGAACTCGTCATCGTACTCCTCCGCCTCCGAATCTGTCTCCAGGATCACCTCCTTCATGCCGCCTGTTTGAGGGATCCAGTGCCGGGCAGCGGCGCGGGCGGTCAGGCAGGGGCCGGGCGTGCGGCAAGCGCCGCGCCTGTCGCGCGTTGGCCCTGGTGTCGGCCGACAGCGCCGCGCAGCACGCGCCACTCCAGGCCGCGGGGCTGGTGCGCACCGCAGGCGACGGCAGCCAAAGAAGGAGCTCGCACGCATTCAGGCGTCCGCCAATCCCCAACCTCTATGCCACACACAGCACGCTCGCTGTCGCCCCGTACCCCAGAGGGGCCATGCAGGGGCCAGTGCCCTCGCAGCTGCGCCCATCGCGCGCTGTCGTGCATGCTCGAGCGCGCGCACCCGCCAGGTCGCCCCTCAGGCGGTTGACCACGCGCAGCTTGTTCCACACGTTGTCCTCGCGGCGCGCCGTGTGCGCCCTGTCCAAGTGCACGTCGTCGTAGCGGTCCCGGCAGTCGCGCAGCAGCGTCACCTGGGGGTGCGGGGGCGGCGGCAACAAGGGGGCGCGGCGGCGGCGGAGCGTGTCGTGGTGGTAGTTTGGGGGGGGGGGCGACAGGTGGCATCTTCGGCCTTGGCACAAGGGGTGGGGTGGCGTCCAGCAGGCGGTGATGGCATCGCATGAGCCGCGCAACGCAGCCTGTGAATGCACTTTGTTTGGACCTTTGGCTTGTGTGACAAGCCCACACCCCACACACAGGCGCGCGTACATACACACACACACACACACACACACACACACACACACACACACACACACACACACATGCGCACACACACGCACGCGGTGCCCCACCTGCACCTCCCTCTCATGCAGCGCGGGCAGCTCCAGGTTGCGCTCCCCCCCAACATTGCCGTTCTTCGTGTACCTGAGGTGTGTGTGTGTGTGTGTGTGTGTGTGTGTGTGTGTGTGTGTGTGTGTGCGTGCGCGCGCGTGTGTATTTGTGGATTTCTGTGTGTTGACGGTTTGTAGGTGTGTGTGCAGGTGTGCAGGTGCGTGTGCATGTGGTGGCACGTGACGGTGTGCATTTCACACGAGGATAGTGCATGCACACAAGCGTTCGGTTCAAATAGTTGCAGGACCTCTTGCAACGCAACGCTGGCGCGCTGCACATGGCCAGGGCGCGGGCCGCAGCAGGCCGGGGGGCAGGCAGGAGCGGGGCGGATTGGGGGACCCGGGGCTGACCTGCATGTCACCGCCGCCATCACTGCCGCCAGCAGCGCCGGCTGGGCGCCAAACTTCGAGGAGAGCTTGCCCGTGGGGTTGATGCCATCCAGGTAGGCCTGGGACCAGAACCTGAGTGGCAGTGTGTTTGCATATGATTTGGTGGGTGTATGAGTGAGAATGTCAGTGTGTGTGTGTGTGTGTGTGTGTGTGTGTGTGTGTGTGTGTGTGTGTGTGTGTGTGTGTGTGTGTGTGTACAGCCAAGATAGTGTACGTGCGCTGTCATGTGTGAGACCAGTGGATGGGCAGCTGACCGCACAGTTCTGCTTGAGGGAGGCCCTGGATGAAGCTATGCCCCTAGGAAAATACGCAAGGCCTCCCCTCCCGGGTGCTGATGGCCACGTATACAATTATGACGACGCTTTTTGCAGCAAAGCGTGCCACCCTGTGTCCCCCAAAACCACTGGGTCAGCTGCCCGCGACCTTGCACCCAGGGCACGCTTGAACTCTGCACCCACTTTGCCAGCGACTCGCGCGGGTTCTCCTCCTTGGCGATGGGCGTGCCCGACATGAACCACTTGGAGCGCGCCGGCGCCATCGCCACCACTGATTTTTGGGCGGGCAGGAGGACAGTCGAGGCGAGCGGGCAGAGGTGGCAGCAGCCACGATGAGTGGCACACTCTACTCAACTCCGCACTCAAAAGCGACGTATGCGCAAAGATGTGTACAGTATTGGCCAGGAAGTCTGTGCAGCAAGGGCACTGCAGGGATACGCTCGCGCACAGCAGCATGCGAGCACACATCTGGACCCAAGTGGGAGTGTGCGCGCGCCGACGTCCACACACACACTCACTATCACGCACACGTCTGCACCCATTTGGCTGGCACCCACCCCTGGGGATCTCCTGCATGTGGAACTCATCCAGCACCACGCGGTGCCACTCCACAGCCCTGGGCAGAGGGCCAGGCAGGTCGGTGCGCGGCAGGCGGAATGTAAGCCAGCGCCACGGGCAAAGTCATAACCCCTTGCGCAATCAGGATGAAAACCAGAGTAAGGGTGGCGGCCTCCCCAAGCAGGGGTCAACACAATAGACCAGCGAGGCAGGAGGCGAAAGGACTGCGCCCCCCACACCCGCGCTCCCCGTCTGCAGACTAACCCCCACCGCCTGCTCACCCCAGCAGCTCCACATTGTTGGCCGCCGTCTGTGTGGTGGTGATGACCAGGTCGTACCTCGCCAGCTGCGCCAGGTTGGGGCATTTTTTGGTGCCGTGGAACCTGAAAGTTGCGGCACAAGCAGCGGGCCAGGTTGCGGAGGAGCGGGAAGCCAAGCATGCATGGGTGGGGGCGGACTGGCAGCAACACATTGTGTAGCTCCCAGGAGGCGAGGAGCGTGGGGTCGAGATTGTGCCCGAGGGTTTCGCCGGCAACCGAAGGCATGCCAGCAGGCGGGCTGCAGCAAGGGGGCAAGCTGGCAAGGGCAAACGCGTGTCTGACAACACCAAAACCAACATTATATAAGCCGCTGAGGTGTTGCACCTGAGGATGCTGAAGCGGCCGGGGGCGATGGTCTTATCCAGCTCAAGCTCCCACTGCCCCACCAGCGTGGGCGGCACCACCACCAGCATCCCGCCGCGCACGCGGTTCGCCGGCTCATTCGCGAGCGGCGCCGCGCACGGCTCGACCCACGCCGGGCTGCGCCAGCGCGGCGGCGGCGGGCGCGCGAGGGCGAGGGCGAGCGCGCACGCGGTCTTGCCCAGGCCCCTGCGTGCGGCAGGGGCGGGGACGGCCGGGCGCACGGGTGAGGAGGGCGCATGACAGGGGGCACCTGCAGGCGCCCAGCACAGACGTATATGAACAAGGCACTAGCTACCTGGCTGCGCAGGCTGTCGCGATGCGGCAGGCGTGCGGCTTGGCCCCAGACCGCCCCATGCCTGAGGCATGCATTGTCGATTATGCAGCAGCCCCCCCCCCCCACACCCCATCCGGTCGCTCACATCTCCAGGCACAGGAACCCCACTGCGGTGTGGGCGCCGACCTCACGCTGCCAAGATGAGTGTAAGAACAAGTGTGTGTGTGTGTGTGTATGTGTGTGAAGGGGGAGCGAGGGAGCAGGGCAGGTTTCCTCAAGCGTGCCAGCTGGCTGCTGAGCAGCATTGCTGAATCATCAGCCGCCTGGCGCACCCACAGCAGACGCTCGGGCCTGAAGAAGCTGCAAGCACCAAAGAGCTTCAAGAACACTCCCCGTCTGGCTGCTCGCTCCCGCACTGTCATCACACGCCAGCCGTGTGCGTGAAGGACAAGGCGCCGTCCAACGCGGCCCCGCACCCCTCACCCTGAGCGTGGTCTCGTCGCGGCTGAACAGCAGCTCCTCTTTGAAGGGGCTGTAGAAGCAGCACAGGCCTTGGGGTGCCGGGCGAGTACAAGCAAAGGGGGCGGAGGTGCCGAAGGGTAGGGCAAAACTGCACGTTTGACCAGGCTTTGACCAGGCTTTGACCAGGCTTCTGGTGGGATCGCCAGTGTGCGGGCCACCCATCAACCCAGCCGACCCACTGGTGGCGGCAAAGTGCCAACCTATTCGAACAAACCCTGCCTGTGACCCCCGGTGTCTGTGGAACACGCCGCATCAGCGGGGGAGTAAGGAGTCACTGCCAAAGGCTGGCCGCGGTGCCGTGTGCCCCGCCCGGTCGCTCACTGGCCGCGGCGCAGGGTTCCTGTGCCCACAAGTGCCCCCGCCCCCCCCCCCAACACTCACCTTCCGCCTCGCACGGGATCTGCGCCCAGAAGTGGCGCGCCACGCCGTTGGCCGCCGACTCCTGGCGGCACATGAAGGCCAGGGCGGAGCGCTGGTAGGGGCGCAGCTCCAGCTGCAGGTCGGCTTCCACGCGCTCCGCCTCGTCTGCACGGCGACGGCGGGGACGCACACGGGTTCAGCGGCGCGGGAATGCACATGCTGGCACGCTGGGCGTGCGGGCCTCCGGTCATACGACATGGTCTGCCAGATACTGCTGTGACCATTCAAATACCACTTTGACCAGCCACTGCACAAACACACCCACAGTCTACTCACCGTCCTCCAGCTCAAAGGTCCTGCCCTCCAGCAGGCCCAGCGCGCGGCGGCACTCCCAGCCGTGCACAGGGCCGATCTCCAACGTCGGCGCGCGCGCCGGGTCCGCCGTCGGCACCAGCTGGACGAGTGTAGGTGTGTTAACGGTGGACGTGTGTGTGCGTGCGTGCGTGCGCGCGCGCGCGCGTGCGTGCGTGTGTGTGTGTGTGTGTGGGCGCGTGTGATTGCGTGCATGGGTGCAAGAGTATGTGCATGCGTGCAAAGGTTGCTCTCAGGAATGCAGCTGAATGCCAACGCAGAGCGTGCGGATCCTCTTGTCTGCTTGGGGATCCGCCACAAATGTTGTCGAACACACGGTGATGCCGCAAATACATGCAAATATAGTTATGCAAGTGGTGATTGTTGTTCACTCACCGTCAGCTCCACCTCTGCCCTCACTCCAGCCTTGCGCATCTCTGCGTGGGCCTCGTCGTAACCCGTCACCACCCTGCGCACGCAAGCGCAGCATGGCAGGCGTCGCGGCGAGCATGCAGAAGCAACGAAGCCGTCGTCCGAGCGGCAGCAGCCACCGCGGGTGCTCCTCACTTGAAGCATGGCGCCAGGAGCCGCAGCAGAGTCACCAGCGCAGGTTGCTGGTGCCCCAGCATCGGGCTGAGGAAAGTTCGCACAGGGAGTTGGACTTGGGGCGCCGCCCCTCACCTGTCAAACTCAGCCCGCATGTCGGGGTGGCCGGCCCAGCCGTCCATGGCCGACAACAGCGGCGCCAGCTTGGTGACGGCCAGGCACCCTGCACTTTTGTGACGGGGCCAAGATACTTCATGTACATGCCTCTCCTTGAGGAACAAAAGCAACCGCCTACAGCTCGGCATGTTTGCTGATGCTGCTGCAAAGCCCAGTACATTCGCCCGCGCCGTGGCGCCGCTCGCCGTGCGGCCGCCGTGCCAGAGGGCCCTCCCAGCCCCGGACCGGCGCCCGCCCACCCCGGCGCCGCACCCTGCACGCCGCTGGCGCTCATCGTGCACATCGCCACCCGGAAGTCCTTGGCGCGCTCCCCCTCGCTGTCGCCGAACTTGATGTACACGTTGGCCCTAATTTTGGTGCGCTCCAGGAACACGTACACCTACTCGAAAGTGAGCAAGTGTGTGTGTGTGTGTGTGTGTGTGTGTGTGTGTGTGTGTGTGTGTGTGTGTGTGTGTGAATGTGTGTGTGTGTGTGTGTGTCCAAGCAAGAAGGCACGTGCGCCTTGAGAGGCGGGCCCAGCAAGCAAATTGCCAATGCGGCTGAAAAAACCATCAAGCTTCGCAACACTTGATGTATCAGCCGTCAATAGGACCAGGCCGTCTCCATTCCCCGTGCCCCCTGTGACCCGTTAACAAACGCAAGCCGGCCCCCATTCGCACCTCGCAGCTAGTGCGCATGGTGTGCAGCTTCCCCACAACCGTCAGGAAAGCGTCCAGCACCTCCTGTGACTCGCCCGGCCTCGGCTTCACCTGCAGGCAGTGTTTTGTACCACATGAGTGGTAAACGCAGTGGTGCAAAGTGTGGCGGCGGACTGTTGTTCAGAATGTTTCGTGCCGTGAGAGTTTGTGCGCGCGATATCATGGCACACAGTCGCGCCACACCTGCAGTCTGGCTGAAGCTTGAAAGACAGGCGCCGCTACTTGGTGGTAGCTGTGGGCCCACCTACACCCGCGGCTGTGCATCACACTGCCTCCTTGAGGCTCCAAATGCCGCACCCCTTATTTGTCCCTTCAATAACCCTGCAACTCAGCTCCCCAGACCAAGGTGCCATCGCTGCTCCTTGCCGTTCTAGCCGCTCGCTGCTCGGCGCGTCGGCTGTGAATAGGTTAAATCCCCCTGCAGAGGGCCCCAGGCTGCCCACCTGGCCCTGCCCGACCCAGTCCATCAGCTGGCTGAGCTCCTTGATGTGCCCCAGGGACCCGAGCTTGAACCTGTGGGTGAGTTTTTGTTGATCATGGGCACATGTAAACCGCACTTGCTGGTTTCAAGCCACATAATCATGGGTGCATTTGCTGAAACCATAGCATGTGTTAGTATGATAGGAAGCGGGCACCCACCAACGCACTGCTCTGCACAGCGCAGCGCGCGGGATTGAGGCGCATCACTGTAGCGCCCCTTAGGATGCTGTGGCGCCGCGCAGCAGCGCTGTCAGGATCAGGGTCAACCATGTGTGGCTGTGCGTGCGACCCACGAGTGATGCCAAGGCCGTTCAAAGGTTGCTCACCCGGCTTTGAGGGACACGGGCGTCACAAAGGAGTTCCAGAGCAGCTCCTCCTTGTCCCCCACCTGTTGGGCGTTGGTGTGCATGTGCCTCTTCAAGTCTTTCTCGTATGATCCAATGCTGAGTATATGTGCCTGTCTTAGTCTTCCTCGAATGGTTAATGCTGAGTGTTCACATATCATTAAGCTGTCCGTGCGCCGCCTCCAGCAGCAAGCCGCCCCCTCCTCCCCAGCCCAATCAACCCTTGCTAGGCCCCGCGCACCTGCTCCTGCACCCCCACGGTGCACAGCCGCTTGAAGTGCTCCTCAACAGACAGCCCTCGGGGCATCGCGCCTTCGCACGAGAGGCCAAAGGCGAGGGGGATGGCATGGGCGGAGCAAGGATGTGAACTCTGGTTGAGTGTTGAGTGCGTCGTGATGCACTGTGTTGAGTGTGATGTGATAGGTGATGTGTGCGCATGCAGGCACGCGCATACAACCACACATGCGTGCGTGCCTGTGCCTGTGCAAGTGAGTGCCAGAGTGTGTGTATGTGTGTGTTCACGTTTTTTAGCCGCGCGCTCTCGTAGCTTTGTGCTCGCACGCAGCATCGTTTGCCTGTGCACTCACGTGGACATGCATGGAGGTGTTTGGCCCTGTGACACTGCGCCAGAAGCTGCCCAGCAGCTGGACCCCCACCGCCCGCCAGGCCCCCCGACCCTCGCGCCCTCCCGCCGCGTCCCACCTGCGTGTTGACCTCCAGCCAGCGGCCGACCGCGCCGGGGGGCAGCTTTGAGAAGAGCGTCGCCAGCCGCCCCTGCAGGCCGCGCGACGAGGAGAGGTCCAGGGCGCCGCAGATGCTGGTGGCCATGGGGCCCGGCAGGTTGTTGGTGGTGATGAACAGCCCCGTGGCGCGCTTCCTGACCTGGCGGTACCTTTTGATATTTGTGTGGTTTGGGGCCGGGGCCCGGGCCGGGAGCGGGAGCGGGGGCGGCAGCAAGGGGTGGCGTCGAGGGGCTGCGCAAGCCGGAGTTTGGAAGGTCAGGGCTCCCTGCTGCATGCGCTGTGTCAGAATCAGCATGCAAGGGCGTTCGCAGGCTGGGGAAGCATGCTGCGGGCCAAGCGGCCAGGCATGGCCTCCAGGGGGGGGGCGATCGGCACGGGCGGGCATCCCTGATCTGCATCCCTGCAGCCGCTCACCTCCAGTCCTGGGGCATCTCGGGGTATTTGGAGATCAGCAGCTGCAGGTCCCTGGTGCCCAGGGACTTGAGGAGCCCCAGGGCAGCCTTGGACACCCGCGCCGCCGACAGCACCGTGTCCCTCACCACCTGCGGCCGCTGCGCCGGCGCCGGCCCGCGCGGCGCGCGGGGAGGCAG